TTAACAGGTTTCTCTTTGGCTGTTTCTGTCTATAGTAATCATCAACAACCACCCAAATGATAGCACCACATACCCATCTCTTCTTTCACAGCCAAACTCCGGTCTTTTGCAATTGCAGCAACCATATGGATCTGAATCAAAAGTTTGGCCTGTATATCTTCTCTCCTCTCTCTGCCTATATGTATATGTGGATATATACAACTATATATCTTTTATATGTATGCCGTACGTTGTATATAACTGTAAATGTTTTTGTTGTATTTTTAATGGTTTTTTTGTTTTTGTCATATAGGAATTGAAATTTAGTTGGAGGATTGTATTGGCCACACTAATAGGATTCTTGGGGTCGGCTTTTGGAACTGTGGGTGGAGTTGGTGGGGGTGGCATTTTTGTTCCAATGCTTACTTTGATTGTTGGGTTTGATACAAAGTCTGCTGCTGCTCTTTCCAAGTGTAAGGACTCTTTCTGTCTCTGTAGACATATATACATATTCGTATGTATCTTAAAATTTCTCCAGAGTTAGAGGTAGTCTTATATAAAATTTAGAACATACAAATGAAACTCTATAAAGGATAAAAGATAATTTATAAATTAACTTCTATGTACTTGGGCCTTAATAATCACCTTCGTATAGTTTGTAAATCTGTATTCAATCTCTTTGAAATTTGGACTAAATATAACTGGCAAAATATTTGATAACTTTTATGCATCTCATATATTTTTCCTTTCCCTCACATAATCTTGTCTATTTCTCTCTTATGCCGGAACGTTAAGTAAATTTTAAATTGGTAAAAATTTCTTAAGAACATATACAATTACACACCCGTCTGAAATCTTGAAGGGATTACATGTATGGTTTTAAATAAGAGGGTAGTTAGGCATGTGAATTAAAGAAACAATCTTAATCTTAGTCATACGAAATGGCTGTAAGAGGGTATGCCTATTTCATTTATTCATATATGTGAATTGGGGCAATTTTGATTTAAGATTGGGAATGTTGGGTTTATGGTTTTGCAGGTATGATAATGGGAGCATCAGCATCATCAGTTTGGTATAATTTAAGAGTACCCCATCCATGCAGAGACGTGCCTATCCTAGACTACGACCTGGCCCTCTTGTTCCAGCCCATGCTCTTGCTAGGCATCACCATTGGTGTGGCTTTGAGTGTTGTCTTCCCCTATTGGCTCATCACTGTCCTTACAATCATTCTATTCTTGGGTATACAATACTGAGGCGACATATTACCGTTAGAACTTAGAACTCAGTTTTTTTTTTTTTTTGATTCTTTCTTTTAATTATTGTCAATAGGGACGTCATCAAGGTCTTTCTTTAAGGGGATTGCAATGTGGAAAGAAGAGACAATCCTGAAAGTGAGTTGTTCTAGTTTATACCACACTAGATGTGTATTATGGAATGTGTTTTCAGTGTATTTAGTAGCATTTTATTTTGAAGTAAAAACAAGAAAAGCTATTAAGGTTCTACTATTTATAGTCACGATTGTTTTTATCTGTTATTTTATCACCCTTTTTTTTTTGGTTTTCCCTCCGGGAATTTGCAGAAAGCAATGGTGGAGCAACAAAACACTCTAGCTAATTCCCATGGCGAGCGTGAGTCACCAAGAAGCTCGTGAATTTTCTCAAGAAGAACATTTAGTGTTTCTAATACAGACTTAGCATACACTTTTTGTTTGTGTTTTTTTTTTTTTCAGTTTTAATTGATACAGAGTATGAGCCATTAGTTCCTAAAGAAGAGAAAACAGAATTGGTGAGCAAACCCTGCTATACTTTTGTGTTTTTTCTCTCTGATATAGTTTTATTAAACCATTTGTTTTGAAATCTTCCAGCAAATTTTGGGGTTGAACTTAAGATGGAAGAGGTTTCTGGTGTTACTAGTTGTCTGGGTCGCCTTTCTACTTCTTCAAATTCTCAAGGTAAGTGCACTGCCTATCTTCCTCTTTAGATGTATGTCTGTGAGCAAGTGTATGAGCATGCGGATATTTTACGCTCTGCATTTTTATCATGTCCCTTACTTGCAATTTTTGTAATCTCAATGATTTTCAGAATAATGTAGTGGCTTGTAGTGCATGGTATTGGATCCTCAACTCATTACAGGTATGAGAGCAAGTTTACTGAAGCTAATATCCTAGGTTTTTTGTCCTTCTTGTTTGTATGTTTCAAATTCAGCAATTTTTTCTTCTGTCCTGCAGTTTCCAGCAGCAATTGGAGTGTTTGGGTATGAATGTGTAAAACTGTACAAAGAAAGCAAGAAGAGGAGGAAAGCAGGGAACACTGAATTAATATGCGAGGCTGCAATTGAATGGACTGTCCCTTCTCTAGCATTCTGTGCCTTGTGTGGGGTTCTTGGAGGCACTGTTGGGGGCCTTCTAGGCTCTGGTGGAGGATTTATTCTGGGTCCTCTCCTCCTTGAAATTGGTGTCATTCCACAGGTATACACATAATATTCCACAGTACTTGCCTTGGAAATGAATTGCAATGTGGCTCAACATAATCTGTGCATTATCTCAGCATTTCTGATTATCGTAATTTGAAGATGTTAAAAGTTGAAACTGATTTGATGACCTATGAAGTTTATTTTACCTCCAAAATGTTGCTTTAATTCGAATGTCAGAACTTTCATTACAATGACAACTTTCTGCAACAACCACAATATTTAGCATTAGAAGTTGCATACTACTTACGCCATTTCCATTTCGTTTTTCCCTATGTAGGGACCATATTAGAACCATGTTTTATACCTTTCCCTCTCTCAAACGCAGATCAAACAAAAATTTTGCAGTCAGAACGATGGTTGAAAATATGTAGTTTTTTTATATGTCCTTTTTCTTCTCTCAACCATGCTGACAATTTATAGGCAATCAGTAAGGGAACTAGTTGCTGCAAAAGTACAAAATATACCCCATTATGAAAAATTGTACTCCAGTATCTGATCCCCATTTTAATGCATTCTGACATCTGAAAATGTTAAAGCTCGTAGTGTCTATTGCATTAATGTTCACTCAATATTAAGGGATAGTGTAAGAAAATCTAATAAAATTTTGGTTATTTTCTCAAAAAGTCCAAATACTACAAGAATGACTAACTCATATGTTTCCTTCACAGGTAGCTAGCGCAACAGCAACTTTTGTGATGATGTTCTCATCATCCTTATCTGTGGTGGAGTTCTACCTCCTCCATAGGTTCCCCATTCCATATGGTATATTACCTATTACATGATTTTCTCTCATTTTATTGTAAATGGCATTCATAGCAAAATGATTAATTTTTTTCAACAGAAATTGTCTAGCTAGAAGTCACCAATACATTATGATCTATTGGGTCTTTGCTAGGTTATCTCTTCAACAATTCTGACAAATTTAAAATTTATTTGCAGCTTTATACCTCATGGCAGTGTCTGTTCTGGCTGGCTTTTGGGGACAATTATTTATAAGAAAACTTGTTGCAATACTAAAGAGAGCTTCAATCATCGTGTTCATCCTCTCTGCAGTCATCTTTGCTAGTGCTTTAACAATGGGTAATTCCAATAAAAACTTGTCCTAAATTCCTTAGTGCTGAAAAATAATATTGTCTGGTGCTTGCATAATTATCTCTACCGAGCCTAAGATATATATGATTGACATTATCTCACAGGGGTCATTGGCACTGAGAAAAGCATACGGATGATACACAATCACGAGTTCATGGGATTTTTAGATTTCTGTAGCAGTCAGTGATATTCAGCTTGAGGAATCAGTAAGGTAGAGCACAAGGGGATGTGAGATTTGTACAGGAATAGCAGTAGGGGTTGTTGGTCAATGCCTAATTGACCAACATCAACGCCGCAGTTATTGAATAATAAAGGTTTAATGTGTGTGTGAAATAGGCTTTGGCCGTGTCGAGTGTTATCATGCGCTAACGCCGCCGCCGCCGCCACCATTTGGTTTTCCTTTAATTGCAGCATTTACTTCTTCAGGGATAATGTGTATTTTCATTTCGTTTTCTGGTTAAGTAATTTTAAGAACCCTGCCATTGCTTGTTAATTTTGTAGTTTGTCTTCTTACTTTCTGATTGATAGATTCATTTTAGAGATGCTTTGATCTATTTGTTGAACTCTCCCTGCCTCTCTAATTAGGAAAATTTCATGAACTTCTATTGAAACTGAGGAATCTTACTCCCTGTTGATACTCATAATTACAGTGGACACTCTAGCATCTTTTTGTAATTGCACTGTTATTGACCAAACGGGCGTTAATGGAATGTATGTTTTTACAATTTTAACCACAAAAAACACCGACAATGAATAAACTTGATTACTTCGTGGTAGAAATTTTGGAAAGTTGAGAGCATACGTGCGATGAATAATGTTTAGAATTTACTGTCAATTCAATGATTGTGGTGTGATTGCAAACAAGACAGATTGATTGTTGCTATAATACTACTGGGACTCAAAACTTGGAGTTACGAAGAGAACAAATGTGTACATGTCACCATTTTTGGTAGCAAAATGCAGTCAATTCCTCTTCATTTTTTGTCATGATGTGAAAAAGCTGTGGGCATCTCTGTTTGCTTTCTTTCAGCCTCACATGGGACTGGGTCCGGCTCCTCTAATGTACAGCAATCAATATTGTTCTCAAAATGATGTCATTTTGGGTATAAAAAAGCTTTGTTTTAAAGAATAAAACGACATCGGTATCGTGTTGAGTAACACCATCTTTGACATAAAACTGTGTTCTATGCAACTTCTCGTGATTCTGCATGAACAAAGAAACGACATCAGTATTGTGTTGAGTAACAACATCTCTGTTGTGTAAAAGAAAGCTGTGTTCCATGGAGCTTCTTGTGATTCTGCATGAACAAACTAAGGGTCATTATTTTTGTTTTTTTCATCGGGTTTGTGCTTACCCTCCTAAACGACATGCACGTATGTTTATTGGTGTGAAGTAAAAATTAGTCATTTAAATAAGGTTAAAAAGAGAGTTTAGTAGTTATTTACAAAAAATTAAAGAACAAAATTGATCTTTCATGAGTGGAGACGATTGAGTGAAGTTAATGATGGAGTTATGAGTAATTATTTTGAAAGGACAAAAAAAGGATATTATGGACAATTTAAGAGTGGACACTAAATTCCACCTCTCCTTTTATAAATAAATTAAAATAATATTATTTTTATAGAAAATATGAATTATGTGTAATTAAATTAAATAATAAATGAATAATGTTATTTAAACCTAAAAATCTGACTTAATTTACTGACATAATGATGTGGCTTCATAGAAATCATTAGATCAACACTAAGTTCCAATGTTTGATGGAGCCTACAGTCAATCCAAATATCACAGTGAATTACGTCAACAAATTATGTCACAATAGCATTACTCATAATAAATTAGGTGTTAAATAATTAATTCGTGTTTTAATTATTAATTTATTTTATAAGTCTTTGAATGCCTAATATGTCATTTATTTAAGTATTTCTCTGGCCCTTTTAAGCATTTACACATTTAATTATATTAAAAAATTATTAATATTTATTTTGTTAAATACATTAATTGGATCACTTATAATATTATTATATTATTGTATACCAAAAAATTTATATAAAATACATTTGACTATGAAATTCAATCTGATAGTGTGTGTAATAATATAACACATGTAGGACTTTACTTCTTTACACAGATATAAAAAATTATATTTAATTGGACTACTAATAAATTAATTCAAAATAATCTAGAATTCCTTATAAAAGAGTTTAGAATAAGTTAAAAATCAAATAGCAGTAAAAAACAAAAATTAGATGAAAGTATAGAGGTGGATATAATTGACTTTATTATAATAATTAGGAATAAGGTAAGAAATCAAAATTTTTCGTAGATACCGGAAATTTATAAATAGTATATATATATATACTATATAGATGCCTAAATCCTTGTCAAATATTACAAAACTCTAAAATGGCCTGTTTAAATATTCTTGTGAAATGACTGGATGATGACCCACAAGTATGCTAGTCCTGCTATGTTAGAATTTTTTTCACACCATACAAAGTACATAGACGTGTATCAAAAAATTTTTATTCGTGTTTAATATTAACAGTGCACGTTTATTATTCATGCCATTGAGTCATGTATTTAAAATTCATGTAAAAAACTAGTCAATTAAAATTGCTAATTTCGTATCATTATTGTCTATTTTAATTTTGAAAAAAAATGTGATGGTTGAGCTGCTATATTAATATCTTTATATCTAACCTACTAATAAAATTTATCTATCACTATCTAGACCTATCTTTCAATATTTCTACTATATCTACCTAGACCATGTTTTTTCAAATTCCAAACACAGCTCTGTCTCCGATATATTTACTATACCTACCATGTTTTTCCAAATTCTAAAACATGTGGAGCAGCAGAGAGTCGGCAATCACACCGGTCCTACACCTTTCCATTCCTTCAGGCCTTTTTGTTTTTTCCAACAGTTCAATGATACGTTGTTTGTAGATTGTTATTGATTTGTTTTTTCCTTTTCTTAACACCAAATACTACGAACCGAATTTCGTAAGTACCTAATGCTTTAAGTAATCATCATTTTGCTTCCATTCCTCAATTTATTTACTTTTTTTGAGCTACGCAACAAATGCTTGATATAGTGGGAGCATCTTGGATGATCCTCTAGCACACGTACATCGGTGATGGGTTGTTATCTAAAATATATCATTGCTTGTGCGAATATCATTCAAGAGGAATTTTTTCTGAATAGATAATACCACGTGGGCTTTAATTATTTTCTTCACCAAATGATAAGATGTTGTATGATTACTCGGTAATCATGAAGAAGAGACTTCACATAATGGTTGGTGAGAAGATGATAAGACTGCATAAACAATGCACTCTTATTATTTGATTGTTGTTGTTATCTAAGATATGTATCAATGCTCATGTGAATATCATTCAAGGGAAATTTTTTCTGAATAGATAACACCACGTGGACTTTAATTATTTTCTTCACCAAATTATGAAGAAGAGACTTCACATTATGGTTGGTGAGAAGATGATAAGAATGCATAAACAATGCACTCTTATTATTTGATTGTTATTGTTGATGAACTCAAAATTAATTGGGTTATGCCCAATTAATCAAGAAAGGCTCATGTCACCTCGGAGTCCAAGTTAACAAGTCAAGGAGTAGTCAAAGTCAAGGAAGAGTCTAAAGGGGACACCCCAAAGGGGCGCTGCCCAAGGGAGGCAACCCCAAGGGGATCCTTCCCTCCTTTGTCCCTTGCTCCCTTTCCTGCGCAAACTCGTGGAGTCCTTCACTCTCTTGACTCTGTCACTCCAATTCAAGTTCAGCATCCACCAATTCAATTCTAAACCCAGGAAAGATGGTAGAAGCCCTCTCTCTCACATCACCGCCTCACCGTCTTACTAAACCTATATAATGTAAGTTCTTTCCATAAAGAGAGACATCTTGACATGACCTTGAAACCTCTACACACTTCTCTACACACACATTGTTCATCTCTTCCATGACATTGTAATTCACCTGGAGTACACTTTCCCGGCTACATTATTCATCAATAAAGATCTCTGGCTATCGCTGTCGTTTTCGAGAGTAAAGTAAGTTATCCAAACCGAACTATTATTAATCTTTGTGTTGACTCTTATTTACTATTTTGCCATTGATTGCCCAGTTATTGCTCATTAATTGTGCCCTTATACATTCTTGATTGTTGATCTTGCGCAAAGTTGATTTGTGCATCATTAGTTTGGCACTGTCTGTGGGAACGACTAGTTTTCCTACTCTCCCAGTTCATGGCAATCACTACCAGATCAATGAGTAAACAACCGGGAGACAACAGCCTGGCCCACCAGGAGGAGGCTCCTCCTCCCCTCACACCATCAAAACCATCTGTTGCGATGACCCCCTTTATCGGGCAACAGCTCCTCCAAACCAAGCAACTACTGGTGAAACAGAACTAGCAGATCATCCAGCTGATGCTTGCCCAGGGGGGTGTTGCCCCTCATTCTGTGGGAGGAGTCCCACTCCCTCCAACAAGAGAGGAGCAACAGTTTATCCTTTCTGAACGCCAGGCAGCCCCCTACCATGGGCCCTTCACCAGAACACTCCAGGACCACACCAGGGGCACCCCTCGCCCAGCAGTCCCTTAGCACACAAGGAGTTCACGAGTTCCCCTTCTTCTTGAACCAATGCAGGAGAATGAAGATGGAGAAAGTCAATACGGAGACCATGAAAGCCAGTACCGCCACCTGATTAAGGATATCCCCAACCAATGGGATGAGAAGATTAGAGAAGTGCAAAACTAACTTGGTGATGCCTTCAACGCCATCAAGGCACAGACGCCCAAAAATCGTGGACTATCTAGTAAGACGTATTGATACACCATTTGTTACTGATATCGTCAATTATCCCTTACTCTCGAAGTTCAAAATGCCCATCATCGAGATTTTTGATAGTACCAAAGACCCTCTTGACCATCTTGACACATAGAAGTCTCTCATGCAACTCCACAACGTGCCTGAGGAGATGATGTGTAGAGCCTTCCCAACTACCTTGAAGGGGTCTACCCGCTAGTGGTTCTCCAAGATCAGACCCTCCTCCATCCGCTCTTTTACAGAATTGAGTAGGTCTTTTGTCTCCCATTTTATTGGTGGACATCGACATTAAAAACCAGTGACCCACCTGCTTACCATCAAGTACGACAGGGAAGAAAGTC